CAGAGACACATTTTTTGTTCCAAACTCAACTCCAAGCTTCGAGTTGAAGCCATAGGAAAGAAAACCGGGTCAGAGGGATCCAGAGGTAGACGATAATGGAAGTTAAAAGGCACAGCACAGCAGAGTAGGACTGATTCCTGCTGATTAAGCCAAGCTTCCTGTTTTATGGGTAAAGGTTATGCTAGTATCCGTGGCATAAATGAGGTCAAGAAAACTTGAGGATTATTGACAGCAGGAAAGATAGGGCATATGTGGGTAAGAGCGGATATTCCCACCCTCTAGGCTCCTCTGTTAACATGGGTGAAAACAACTTTGACACCCATGGGTGGCACCCTGTCATGGTTGCCAGGACTCTGTGATAGAAGAACGGAAGAAAGGGGAGCACTTTACTTTCTCTCCCTTAAGTACCCTGGATATTTTCTAGGAAGAGAAGGGAAGCTGGGATGCCTCACTCCGCTCTTTCTAGATGAGTAGACATTCATCTTCAGTCTGTACGCCTTTCAAATGCATCCTGAACCCCTGGGACTCCTTTGAAAAAAAAAAAAAAGCCTTTTTTTTTCCTTTTTCCTCCTCTGTCCTCTCTTCACTGATAGGTAATTGTGTCTCTGTACCATAAGACACTCACTCCCCTTGGATACATCTTCCAAATGGAAAAGAGTTAATTTCCCAAACCTTAAACTGGACTGGGCTTGAGGGAAAGAGAACCCTTGGCAATGCAGGCATGAGCACACTTCCCAAGCTTGTGTTGCAGAATTTTTGCTCCTTAGTCAGCTAAAACTGGGTTCTTGTCACATGACCAGGAAAGATTAGGCACGCAGACACATTGAAGGATGAGCAGAGTGCCAGCCAAAGGCCAAGGCCAAGGATCAAACCAAGGCTCAGGCTGCAGCTCCAGCTTCAGCTCCCGCTTCGGCTCCACAAGGTGCCCAGGCTCCCACAGAGGCTTCAGAGTAGAGACCTCTGTCTGCCGACCTGAGGACAGAAGGACTGGTGTGACCCTCTGGGCTGCCATCTGCATGGGCCTGGTGTCCTCCAGTGCTATTTGTACAAATAAACCCGAGGCAGGGGGCCAAAAAAACACTACAAACAACCGTGTTTCTACAGACAAGGCATTCAGAGTTTTGAATCTGAAGTGCTTTAGAGTCTGGTAACTCTACTGAAGACTTTAATCTGTGGTTCTTTCTCCTATGGCCCCATAAGTGGTCTATTCACCCTACTGTTAGGCTGTCTCGCCTTCTGGGGTTAAAGGGAGAGAAAGGCAAAGTGTGCCTAACATCATCTTCATAGGGAGTGATACGCTATTAAAGCACTTTTCTAAAGAGAGCTATCATCTTTCTCTTTCTGAACTACAGCTTCCCTGGGGATAGGTTGATGAAGAAGCATTTGGTCTAAAATGGTCTTTTCCTCTAGCGGAGTAGAATTACCTTGGTTAATTGGATGGAGCAGTGAATCAGGGTCTGGGGATGGAGCTCCTGGTGCCTGTGCTAGCCCAGATCAGCCCTGGGGCTTGGTGTAAGCTACTTCCCCTCTCGGGGCCTCATTTCCTCCTTTGCAAAGCAAGGAGGAGGCTTCAGTGATCTCTTTCTGGCTGGAGATTTTCTCAGCGATTCCCAAAAACGGATTTTATTGGGGATGATGGATCTATGATATGTGATACTGATTGTGGTGATGATTTCATCACGGGTGTATACCTATGTCAAAACATATCAAATTGCATGTCTTAAATGTATGTCGTTTACAGACTGAGTTTCTTAAGAGAATAATAAAAATTTAAAAATAAATATGTGCAGTTTATTATATGTCATATATACCTCAATATGACTGTTAAAAAAATAGATTTCACCCGGCTTCTATAACAGTGAGGCGGTAGAAAGGACGATGCCCTGTTCTGATACGGAACAGTGTATGTCGTCAGAGACAGAAAACAGTGCTTTCTTAAGTTTTTCTTATAACCTCCTACAAGGCTTGTGCTTTCTCCTTCTCTAACTTCCTTTTATTTTTTTAAATGACAGTTTTCACCTTTCAAAAGACAGAATTACAGCAAATTCAGGTAAAAGATCTCAACTGGCTTTATTTTTGATTCTGGAACAGGGCAACACTTCATCCCGTAAAACACAATGAGTGTTCTCATGAGCTAAGCAGAAGGGCTTGGTCTTACAGACAGAGAGCGGCTGGATAAAGCAGAAGCAAAGAACAAGACTGTGTTAGTCTTTCCAAAGCTACTTTTCTTTTAAGGTGGGGACAGTGAGACAGCATGATAGAAAAATAACTGGTTGGTTAACATCAGGTGACTTCAGGTCACAATTTTTGTGTAAGGATTAAAGCAAAGAAACTTCATTATCGTGCCGATTGAAGATTTAAACTGGTCTGTTTGGGAAACTGCCTGTTATCCCTTTCTCCTGATTTCTCAGGGCAGATAACAACCGATCTTGGGTCCTTAGCATGGGTGACTCCACTTTGATTTTTAGTCTGGTCTGCTGGGGTCTGGTATGGAAGTTTAGTCCAAAACAGTGGCCTTCTATAATTTTTATTTGACACATCCATTCAGGAATGTTTATTTTTCTCACTCAGGCATCATCTTAAGTCCTCTCTTGCCTTTGGACTCAGGAGTGAGGTGGGGGCGAGGCGTCTTTTGGACCCCCCGATATAGCTCTAGACTCGACACCCCCCCCATTGTTCTTCCTAGGAAGGAAAGAGCTATCTAAGTGCTATCGTGTTCCTAGCACTTAAGAGTAGATTGAAGAATTGAATAGTACTTCTCAGCAAAAATTCCTTTTTGAGAGCTTAACAGTAGGGGAGATAATCAAAACAAATTCTTACAGTGGAACATCACACAGTGTCACAATGGGTGGGGAAATGTTGTGGGGGCAGGCGTGGAGGTGGCTACCTGTCCCTCCTTTCACACCTGTTGGAACTTCTTTTCCCCACATTCTCCTTCTATATCCAGTCATGCAAAAATTACTCACCATAGCTCATGTTTCTTCCACTGAAATCTTTCTTCGAGCCCATCTCAGACATTTCCGCTGCCATCACCAAGTCCAGATGTGTCATCCTAAGTCAGGGTTTCCCCAGGAGGCTCTTACTTGGCTTTCTGCTTAGAGGATCTCTGCCAGGCACAATCCTGCAAGGTTCTTCATTTTCAGTGTTAACCTCATCAGTCAGTTATCTCCTCAGAAACCTTCCAAGGTTCCCATTTCATCAGGTGTAAACTCCTCTGTTTGGATTGTGAGATCCTTTGCCCTCTAGCCCACCTTCTGATATTTGACTTCCCCAGCACTCCCAAGGTCAAGTCTCTGCTTCGCTGGGCCAAGTTTCCTCCTTAACCCAGCTGTGTATCCTGTGCTCTGCCCTGGTTCCCTGTCTAGCTCATATTTTCTTACCACGAGAAATCCAGGCTCTTTTTTTGTTTGTCTTGGCAGATCCTGCCTGCCCAAAGGCTCAGCTCAAACTCCATTTTTTCCCAGAAGCTTTTATTGATTCTCCAAGTACATGCTTTCAATTTATTGAACTACTGTTTATTTAATAGCTGCTGGGGACATGAGTATGAATTATGGCCTCTGCCTCTTGGTTTGTCTTCTCTCTGACTCCCAAGAGAGTGAAAAACCAAGTTAATCCAGTCATTCTTGAAATCACAAACACTGTGTACACATCTTTCCCCTTCAAGCAGGTATTTGTGAATGCAAACCCAGAGATTTAAAGTGTGTGCAGATAAATTTGACACACAGAGGACAGATGAAAGTTTCCTCGCTGCTTGTTGTGGTTGAGTCTTTCCAGGTGTTAGGCCTCCAAGTCCAGGCCTGGCCATTTTAGCCTTGGTGACCCGCACATACACTTCTGAATGGTCCCCAGAAGCCAGAAAGTCTGAGATGAACACAAGTAACCAGCTGGCCACGGAAAGAAGTGAAATAACTTATTCCTGCCTCAACTAATTGCTCTCCCCCTGCAACCTGCAACCTGCAACTACTGTTCCTGCTCAGCCTTGTGGAATTTCCCGCCTGGACACTGGGTTTCTTAAGACCCCCACCCCTGTAACTACGTAATTTATCGTATCCTCCCCTCTGCTTGCAACTGATACCCCCACCCTTGTGACCATGCAACCGTAATGTCCTTCCCCTCCCTAAAATAGATTACCACCTTTAACTGACCACTTGCCCCAACCTATAAAACCAACTCCTTTCCCATCGCCCTCCACTGATGCCCTTTTTGGCCTCAGCTCACCTGCACCCAGGTGAGTCAACAGCCATGTTACTCACACAAAGTCTGTCTGCGGGCTCTCTTCATTCAGCACGTGCATTTTAACAGCAGGGTTAATATAATGTATATGAACAACTAAAATTAAATAAACTATGGTTTCTAAAAAAAAAAACCAGGTGTATTTTCTTCTTACGGAATGAAGAACAAAGTCAGATTAATGTAGCTCTATGTTTATGAACGAGAAAAGATCACCTTTGTTTAAAGAACAGTATATGCGATGTGGTCTAATCCTGGTTTAAGAAAAAAAATCTCTAAAGCAGAGAAAGAAATTTGGAAAGATATATGCCAAATGGTTTTCTTTGGATGGAAGAATTACTGATGATTAAAGAAACACTTCCTTTTAATTCATACTTTTTATAACAAGCAATTTCATTGTTGCTTGTTATAGGAAATGTCATCAGAAAGACATTGTCATTTTGGGAAAAAGCACAGAAAGAGGGACAGCAATTTGGTGTAAATGCAGATGGATCACTTTTGAGACAGTGCAAAATTAAATATTAAAAGGCCTTCTGTTTTGTTTTAATATGGGGTGAGGATTGGAATGGGCCACATCTACAGGGACACTCAGCAGATGTGGACTGAGTGATTGCACTGTTTCAAGGTAAACATTATAAAAATAAACAAATGAGCAAACTAATGGAATGTGATAGACAGGATGCCTGAGTAATTACTATAAATGCTCTGGCCTTTTTTTTTTTTTTTTTTTTTTTTTTTTTTTTTTTTTTTTTTTTTTTTTTTTTTGTCAGATACCCAGAAAAGACTTTAACCTCTAGGTCTATTAATCTGGCTTCTATCACAGGGCAGAGTTAGTGGCATTTTATGTTCTCAATCATAACTATATTGCCCTTGGTATGCTGTAGCAATTTTGTTCTCTTTCTATCAAAGTTTTGTTATTTTACCCTAGGAATGGAAAATGTACAAATTGATGATATCACACAGGTGGGTGTTTACAACCTTGACAATTTTACACACAGGTGGGAATTTTCTCATGTGGGAATTCACTTGAGTTTGCAGAGGGCCAGCAGATCGCCCTCAGCTGCCGTCCTTATAAAGTTCAGGAAGGACTCTGAATTCTAGACTCCAGGAAAACCTGGCCATGAGGTTGATCCTGTTTTTTGGTGCCCTTTTTGGGCATGTCTACTGTCAAGAAACATTTGTGGGGTAAGTTATGCTTTCTGGTGCTTCTTTACATTTTACTAACCTGATGGATGGAGGCTCTCATTTGATTGTTATGAAATAAATGGGTATACACGTTCAGTGTTTTCAGAGAAGTTCTCAGATTTGGGGATAGGTCGATAGTGGGAAAAAGAGGAGTGGATGATCAAAAAAGAGATGAATGACACTTAAAGGAATGGACAAATGTGAAACCTGAACACACATAACCCTATTTCTCTCTGTCCGTATTAATTCCCCCCCCCACCCCGCCCCAACCCAGTGATCAGACTGTACGGATGCTAGACATCAGGGAAAAATACAGCTGTGTGGCCATTTGTTTTAGGCAACTCAGTGGATGTCAAGGCTACTCTCCCACGTCCTCCTGCCCTTTTGGGCTTTACCATCCAGTTAGCCCTTGTCCCCTACCACCGCCCCCCCCCGCCATCTTTAGATTCAGCATCTAGTTGGTGGAACCTCATGAAGTGGAAAGGCCAGGGCTGTAGATTTCAGCTCAACTCCTCCTCTCTTGGCTTGGGAGGACTCATCTTTGCTCCGAAGTACTTCGCTCCATGACTCTATGAATGGCTTTAGGCAGCATTTTTTGAAGAGTGTTCCAGAGAACTAACAAAGCAGTCAAATAAATTTGGTCCTAAAAAGCCACTGGCCAAACAAATGTTGGAATCACAGGGTTAAACAAACTATAGGATTTCTGGGAGCTTTGGCTAAATCAATGTACATTATAAATCTATAAGAGGCGATCTAGGTTGCCGCATGTACTTTTTTTTTTTTTTTTTAAATCATCAACTACCCCCGCCCCGGGCTCACTTTCTTTCTCTTTCTTTCTTTCTCTCCTTCCTTCATTCCTTTCTTCTTTTTCTCCTTTCTTTTCTTTCTCTCTTTCTTTCTTTCTCTTTCTCTTTCTCTCCTTCCTTCCTTCTTTCTCCGAGTAACTCAAAGAACTGCTATTCTTTAGAACACACACCAAGAAATATGAGCCTATTGTATTACTTTTCTCAGTGCCTTCCCATTTTAAAGGAGGACTCCTGGGAGTCCATGCATCAACCAAAAGTAATGCGACTTGAATGGAAGAATTTTCAGACCATTTGTGGCAGACGAGCCTCAGAGAGCTCACATTCCATCACTTCTGTATTCCACCAGAGTTCACAGGAAATTGCAGGGGGCTGGGTTTCTGAAGACCCAGATTCTGGTCCCTGTACATGGCTCATTGTACTGATTCCTTCCCCAGTGCACAAGCAGATGGGGCAGTGACTTAGGAAGTCTGCTTACTTGGAGAATGGCTAGAAAGGGGAACCTCTGTTACCAGGGAAACTCCCCCTAAAGATACAAGCTTGATTGTTTTGAAATTTCTCTTTTCTGTTCATCCTTTATTCCCTATTAAGGGTGTGTGTGTGTGTGTGTGTGTGTGTGTGCGTGTGTGTGTGTGTGTGTGTAAAGACAGGCACAGCATAATTTGTCAAGGTCCCAACTATCCCTGGCCATGCCCCACAATGGACCACATGAATGGGGTCTGGGGATAGAACCTTGATACGTTTTCAGTTGACAAAAACAAAAAACAAACAAAACTCCCAAAACCATTTAAAAAAAAAAACAAAACCTTAGGTCTACCCACACATGAATTGTTTTCTCTTACAAGCACCAAGTTAATTATTCCACTTTTGAAAAAACTTACTTTTGAACAACAGGAACAGGCAAGTTTTAAAAGCCAACACTTCACGAGCAGCAGGTGTTATTTTACAAATACTCATTAGCTAAAGGAAAGGTAACTTTAATGGCAAGCTTCCTGCTAGGAGCAGGTACACCTCTTAATTATTATTTAGATAACATTTCCTGGGAGGAAATAACGCCATTCTATCACCTTCTCATTCTGGCGGTGTGGGTTAGTATACTATTGATTAGTTTCTGGATTGTCACAGAGATTATTGACTTTTGCATTAATCTGTTACACACAGAGACTAACAGGAGCAGAAAGCAACAGGATACTGTCCAGGTTTTGCTTTTGAGGTCACATTTGTGGTTAATTTTCTTTAGAGACCAAGTTCTTGAGATTGTACCAAGCAATGAAGAACAAATTAAAAATCTGCTACAATTGGAGGCTCAAGAACATCTCCAGGTATTTGATCTAGTGGGAGTTTCTGTTCCCAGAATGAATACGGTTAAACATGACTGAGATCTAATTTGGACTGTATTTTGACTCCCCTGACATAGTGTGAAATGCTAACTTGCGCAGCTGGGATTCTGAAACCCTGGGCTCTAGTCCCAACTACACGACATTGGACAAGTCACCTACCTTCCCTGTGTCTAATTTTCTCACTCAGAGTAGTGGCGATAAATAGACCCTTCTTCTATCTCTCAGGTTTATTGTAGGAATAAAAAGAGATATCAAATGTGAAAGTTACTTTCAAAAATTAAACACCTTTAGTGCATATTTCCCTTGTAAAATAAATTATAGCATTTATATCCTATTATTAGATGAATTGGATCACTGGAATCCCAGCTTAAAAAAAAAAAAACCTGCCATCATTTTAATAATCTTTTCCTTCTGCCAGTTTTAAAATCCAGCCATGGGGGGAGGGGAAACAATTCAATGCATTTGCTGACACGTGGATATTTAAAAACCCTTGTTGCAATATCATAGTGATTCCACAATGGTTCTGAACTTGTGGGCTCAAGATAAAATGGATGCAGATTGATTTCTTGAAATGTATCAATGCTGAACTGTCTATTCCCCAGAATAGTCCCATTCATTGCCTTGGGTTGGACTTTTATCCTTTTCAGCTTGACTTTTGGAAATCACCCACCACCCCAGGGGAGACAGCCCACGTCCGAGTTCCCTTTATCAGCGTCCAGGCAGTCAAAGTGTTCTTGGAGTCCCTGGGAATTGCCTACTCTATCATGATTGAAGATGTTCAGGTAATTATGCCACAGACTTGCCTTCCCGAGGCTTGCTGGGCCACATGAACGTCAGTCCAGTTCCATCCTCTTTGATGGCTGAGTACTCTCTGCAGGGAAGGGACCTGAGGGTGTCACCAGGACCTTCCAGCAGTCTGGGCTCCCCTTGCAAGGTGCGTAGGAGAGCATGTCTTTCTCTCTTTTGCATTTGGCACATGCCGAATATGGTAACAAAGAATTTAAGGGAAAGGGCAAAAGAGAGGCTACAGCATGAAATATAAAGTGCACACCAAAGGGTGTCAGACAAAAGAAGGAAAAGAAGGAGTCCCGCTGTTTCCCAGGCTGGAGTGCAATGGCACCATCTAGGCTCACTGCAACCTCCACTTCCTGGGCTCAAGCAATTCTCCAGCCTCAGCCTCTCCAGTAGCTGGGACTACAGGCATGCACTACCACACCCAGCTAATTTTTGTACTTTTAGGAGAGGCGGGGTTTCCCCATGTTGCCCAGACTGATATCGAACTCCTGGCCTCAAGTGATCCATCTGCCTTGGCCTCTCAAGTTGCTGGGATTACAGGAGTGAGCTACCGCGCCTGGGCTGATTTAGTTTTTATTTAGAGGTTAACTCAGACCCTGAGCTCCCAGAAAGGTAGGATGAGCCATAAGATCGTGCCTGCAAACCCACCCTGGTATACTGGCAGCATCTGGCTGGTAGGAAGTTCCATTAATGCTCCATCCTCTTTCATAGTGGGGTTGGAATGAAGGAAAGTCATGATCTCAAAGCCTACAGGGCGAGAAGAGGAAAGCTTGGTACTGGGGACCCGAGTGTTACCCTTTCCTTCACAATTACAGACTGAAATGCATTGATATAAACCAATCATAGATAGAATTGTTTTATCTTAGGTCCTGTTGGACAAAGAGAATGAAGAAATGCTCTTTAACCAGAGAAGAGAACGGAGTGGCACCTTCAATTTTGGGGCCTATCATACCCTGGATGAGGTAGGTGTTTCAAAATGAACATCGCAGAAACGGGCCATTCTCTAGTGACAAAGCTTATACTTCCACGTGGCAGTATCTTTTAATTTAATGGCCTAGAAATTATTCTCTTACTATTTTCTAACTTCTCCAAGATTCCCTAGGATTTCACAGCCAGTACCAATGTCACTGGCTTCACACTTACTCCTGCTTAATGTAGGACCTGAAGTCCACTTGCCCATCTCAACAGCCACCCACTGTGGAGTGTCTAAAGGGAACTCACAAGTAGCCTCCTCAGGATGCTGCTCTTGCCCTAAGTCCCCTTGCTGACTTCTGACCTGTGCTGCCCACAAAGCCAGGTAAGCCATCGTGGCTGCCAAGGATGATGCAATCAGGGCACAAAGCCAGGTGAGAGCTGTGCTTCCAGGCTGCCACTGATGATGGAAATCAGGGACCACTGTGACACCTCTGACTTCTGTCCAAGTGTTACTGGTGGAGGGTGTCCAGGTTCTTGGCGTCTTGAATGAAGAATTAGACAAAACGCACAAATAAAACAAGGAAGGAATGAAGCCACAAAAGCGATTTTTATCCAAAACAAAAGTATACTCCACAGGGTGGGAGCAGCCAGAGAATAGGGGCCCAAGAGCCCATTACAGAATTTTCTGGGATTTAAATACCCAGTAGAGCTTGTCCATCGGTTACTTGGTGTACACCCTGTGTAAATGAAACAGTAGCCTTCCATCAGTCTGATTGGTTGCAGTAAGTGGCTAATCAGAGGCTGAAGTGAAGTTACAAAGTTATACTCCTACCTAAATAAAGACTTGGCTTGCAACCAGCCTGAATGTTGCCGGAGGGGACCAATCAGAGGTACTTGGTACTTCGAATTTTTCATTTGCCCAGTCGAAAGAGGGGGTGGCACAAAGGGAGCAGCCTCTGGTCCTTTTGTTACATGGGCAAAAAGTTGGGGTTTTCTTTTTGATTTAGTTCTAGGGAGTCAGCCTGAATTGACCTTAGATTCCCTGCCTCCAGACCCTTTTTTTTTTTTTTTTTCAAATTTGTGAGACGGAGTTTTTTCTCTTGTTGCCCAGCCTGGAGTGCAATGGCACTATCTCCACTCACTGCAACCTCTGCCTCCTGGGTTCAAGCGATTTTCCTGCCTCAGCCTCTCGAGTAGCTGGGATAAAGTATAGGCACCGGCCACCACGCCCAGCCAATTTTGCGTATTTTTTTTTTTTTTTTTTTTTAGTAGTGACGGGGTTTCACTTATTGGCCAGGCTGCAAACTCCTGACCTCAGGCAATCCACCGGCGTCGGCCTCCCAAAGTGCTGGGATTACAGGCGTGAGTCACCACGCCCCGCTTCAGACTCTGTTCTTCTGCCTCACAGGGATGTTCTCTCTAAGACCTCATGGCAGCAAAGCCTCATGGAGTCTCTGCTGTCTTTCCTGGGCTGGCATCTGCTGCTCCATGCTGCTTGGAGACCTTGGGCCGTGCTGCATTTACTTCTGTGACACAGCTCTTCTCCAGGCCCACGGGAATCTATCCGCACTAACTGATTTAGGAGTCGCGGAATGGAAAGGGGCCAGAAGGGATGGCGATTGTAGGGTTAAGGGGTGGCATGGGGACCAGGAAAGAGCCAGGGAAGAGGTATCTAGTAGGTATCAAGTCTCCGAGTCGGCAATATTTGAATGCAAAAAGCTTTAAACATTTTTTTCTCCTATTTGATGGGAAAACCTGATTTGACCTAAACTCATTTGGGAGCAAAATCTGACCTGAACTGCCTCACTGCTCATTTGTTTCACTGCCAGAAATATTAATGTGCTTGAAGACGGAGCAATGTCCCATGTGTAATACATAATATATACTTCCAATTACCTTTCTAAAATTCTCCCCTGGAAAAAAGATTTTACTTGAAATATATATGGCCTCAAGGGTTTCAGATAGGGACTGTGGACCAGCACAAGAGAATAAGGAAGAAAAGGAAGTAGAGTAAACAAGATGCTCTCCCTCTCCCTCAGACGAACTGATGTCTGTCTCCCACGGACTGCAAATACTGGCAGCAGCTGGAGGGACTGTCTTCCTCCTGCTAGCTCTCCAAACACGTCTCAGTCCCAGCAATGGACGTCTCAGTCCCTGCTAGCGCCCGGACACGTCTCAGTCCCAGCAATGGACACAGCTCGGACTCCTCATGCACAAAATTTCAATCAGCCTTGAAAATAGGAGCTGGAGTAGCCGGTGGCTTTAGTGCGTCTGCGGCAAAAACCCCATTGTCCCCAGGCCTGACTTAGCCTGGAGACATTTTGTAGCGCTCCCCTCTACATCCGTTTTGGGGTTCAGGGGGCACTGCTATTTTTGTTCCTCTGCTAGCAAGGGTGAGAAACCCCACCTCAGGGCTGGGGTCGCCAAAAGCCACAAGTACGCCAGGGGAAGTGTGCCATTTTGCTTTGCACAAAACTGCGAAGAGCTGGCTGGGCTGCAGCCCCCGCAGACGCGGACTCAGCAGCACTCAGCTGGGATGCAAACCCTCAAGAGGCGCTGCCCTCTCCGCTGTGTCCCAAGGGAAAGGGGAAAATCACCAGGGGGTCAGATCTCCTGCATCAGATGGTTCACTCGCAAATGTCTATTTATTCACTTGAAACATTTCAGATTTCCCAAGAAATGGATAACCTCGTGGCTGAGCACCCTGGGCTAGTGAGCAAAGTGAATATCGGCTCTTCTTTTGAGAACCGGCCGATGAACGTGCTCAAGGTACACGGGGCAGGGGCGGTTCTTCCTCTCGGTGTTTCTAGAATCCCCCTCCTCCCAGGCTGGCCGGCAGTCCCAGCTCGAGCTACAGAGCTGCTCCTTTTTATTATTTATTTTATTTTTTTCTTTTCCTCCTAACCGGTCCTTGCTGGTTTTGAGCATCCACTCCCCCACCCCCGCCCCCTTCTTTTTCTTTCTCTCTGTTCCTGCGCAAGCTGACGCAGGTCTGCAGGAGGGAATTAATGCTTGCGTACTGAGAGATGCGCTTCGGAGGAACCGGGACGAACGCGCCAATAGGAGCCGAGGAAGGGGGAGGTGCGGGCCCGGGGAGGTCGGGGGTGGGGGTCTGTAATTCATCAAGGTGGGAGTTCTCTGCCTCCCCTTCTTCTCTTTTTTCTTTCCTCTTTAAAAACACACACACACACACACACACACACACACACACACACCCAGTTAAAAAAGAAAAAGCACTAATTGCCTAAGCTGCATTTTTTTCTTTTCTTTTCTTTTCTTTTCTTTTGTTTGGTTTTGTTTTTTAAAGAAGAGTTCTCGTAGTATGCAGAAGGATGATGGACAACTAAACCCTAAACCGCAAAGACAAATGCCCCGAACGAAGGTCTTTTGAAAAAGGATATAGCTGAAAAAAGGGGAGGGTTTTACGCCATCTCGTAATCTCTGACAGTCTTTGTGCACAGAATTTCAAGCTTTGCACTTTGCCTTAAAAACAGTGAAAATATTCCCCCAGATTTCCTAGAAAGAGTTTGTTAAGAGAGAGAGAAAAAAAAAAAATCAAAAAGAGGTAATGTCACAACTCCTGGCTAAATTTGGAAACGTTATGGCTGGGAACCAACTGACTAACCGGGACAGATGGATTTCTCCAGAGCGTTTTTCCCCAGAGCGTTTTTCCCGAAGCAGGCCTGAGAGGAGTGACTTGCCTGCTTTATACCACTGGGATACATTTGCCAATGTTTACCTCCCCCCTTTCTTTTTATTTCCTCTACCCCCTCCCCCCAGTTGGGTCAGAACATCCCAGATTCTCTTCCACTTTGGGCCTCCCTGGCTTTCCCTTTTCCTGGGTGGTTTGGCGGTGGAGGATGTGTTTTTGAAAGTTCCCTGCTTTTTACATTTGAGCTCTTTAGAGGAAAAGACACAAAACCCTTTTAACTAAAACTCCTAGAACCCATGAACTGTGATTTTTTTAGCAAGGACTTGCATTTCTCATTTACCTTATCTGCTGTGTTTAGAACGCTGCACAGAGATAGAAGTTGATGGTGCAAAAATAATCTTTTCCTCCCCATTTACTGATCCAATTGGCAAAGCCACTGTTTCAAATAAAACGAAGTCACTTAGATGATAAAATTAAAACTCTGGAAAGTACCTCCAGAGAGGCTTGCTATCGTGTTTTTATGAAGGTATCAAAAGGTTATCACAAGCATTTTTAGAACAAAACAGTATTATTGCATACATTTGGGATATAGAGAAACAAAAGAAAGAGAAAAGAAAAAAATCCTCATAATTCTAATTCCACAACTGTGGGATCATACTTATTAACAATCTGTTGTATATTTTTTTACTTCTTTCTCTGTTTTCTTTTTTCTTTTCTCTCTTCCTCCTCTCCTTTCCCTTTTTTTCTCCTCTGTGTTTACATAAATGAACTCGTTTCTTTAAAAATTAAAATGAAATCCTGTAATCCATTTCCCCCCAATTTTCAGCGTATGAAAATAATTTCGTGTCATTACATTGTCTACAAGGATTTTTTTACAAACATCGGAGGAGAAGTAGTCTATACCCCTCAGCCTGCATTGATGCTTGCATTCAAAGAAGGGGACAAAAGAAAATTCTTAAATGAGAAGAGTTAGTTGACATCATCACTGTGTGTATTTCCTTCTCTGTCAATCACATCAAGAACAGAAAGAGGGACCGAGAAGGATGGTCTGGGGTACAGAGGAGGCGACTGGGTGACATGGCGCCGGTGGGGCCGTTCACGTTGCCACGCTTGTTCTTGCAGTTCAGCACAGGAGGAGACAAGCCAGCGATCTGGCTGGATGCCGGGATCCATGCTCGAGAGTGGGTTACACAAGCTACTGCAGTGTGGACAGCAAATAAGGTCATTTTACCCAACATTCCTCACTTATTTTGCCTTTCTGGGATCAGGCCCACCGAGACCCACGACAGTCCCAGTGGTCTCGATGGCTGGCGCTCTCAGCCAAAGCCCTTCTCTTGTCGCACGGGCTGGCAACAAACCCGGGCAGCCTTTTTTGGTATTGCCCCATCCAGCACCCCAGTACCCTCCCCTTGGGCAGGCCACTGTGTGCTCTGTTAAAAGGCACCACGATGTGATAATGGCTGTTGAATGAGAGACGGGGGTTGGGGGAAGGCTCAGTGAGCTAAAGAGATCGAACGAGCGGGAGGCCAGGGAGGACCCTTGGGAGCCAGATTTCAGCATAAGAACCGACTAGAGAAAAATCTCTTTGCTGCCTGAAACCCTGAGGGCTGAGGCGTGATGTGCTGGAAATTTATAAAATCATGAAAGGGGCTCAGCTGGGAAATACAAACAGGTGCAAGAAGAGTTTAACCCACAGATCCAAAGTGAAGTTAGTTAAGGGTGTTCGGGTTGTTGTGAAGTTTTCCCAAATTTGATTTTGAAGGTAGGGTATAGTAAGACCTCTCTTCCACAAGTTTATTGGCATTAGAGTCGGGACATAGGGCTGGGTGTGACCTAGTCTGGTATTTCATAAGTAATTCAAAAATGACGTGCTATAAATCAGAATGTTAATTCATGAGCAGAGGAAATCAATCCACATCAGATTATTCAAGCATGTGCAACCACGTGCATACCGACTGATAAATTTTTCCCTTCAATTAAAATGCGGTTACCTTTAGGGTATTATGAAATGGATATTTAACAGTTGAATAATAATGCCTTAGGATGGCTGAGCACAGGAAATGAATAAATTTTAATCCAGCAGAAACTTCAACTCAACTGGAGTTGAAGGCAAGTAAAAGTGTAATTCCCCAAGTGGAATTTAACTGGTTCTCTGTGTCTTTAACAATTTCTCTAAATATTTAAGTAATCTGATGTTGGTTGTGAGTTCTTTTGGAAAGTTACCCCATGTGGGGATTAAGGAATACCAAACAAAATTTGTTGGTTGTATAGGTCTACATAAGTAACATATATCATTGCCAGCTATTGCAAAATTAATAGGAAGAATGCTATTGCTTTTGAGAAAGAGTAGATACATGATATCTAATTTTTACTCAATAGAAGTAAATGATTCTGATCAGAAATAAAAGTATAGACGCTAGCATAGTCAACACATTAGCATTGCCGGAGGCTGGACTGCAGGGTGCCTGGAAGACCTTCCTTGACCAATAGTGATTCCTGGTTCACATCTGGAAAAGACACACTGCCTTACTATTCTGTCCTGTGTTCCCCACAAAAGGGGAGTGTCTGGCCAGGCGCAGTGGCTCGTACCTGTAATCCCAGCACTTTGGGAGGCTGAGGCGAACAGATCACGAGGTCAGGAGTGACAGTGCGTCAGCCTGACCAACATGGTGAAACCCCGTCTCTACTAAAAATACAAAAATTCGCCTGGCATAGTGGCACATGCCTGTAATCCCAGCTACTTAGGAGGCTGAGGCAGGATAATCACTTGAATCCGGAAGGCAGAGGCTGCAGTGAGCTATCATGCCACTGCACTCCAGCCTGGGCGACAGAGTCTGTCTCAACAAAAAAAGGGGAGGGGGTGTGAGGTTGACATGTATGTTGTTTTTGCTCAGATTGCCTCTGATTATGGAAAGGACCCATCCATCACTTCCATTCTGGACACCCTGGATATCTTCCTACTGCCAGTCACAAACCCTGATGGATACGTGTTCTCTCAAACCAAAGTAAGCCTGGATTTTTTCCCCCCTTCTTCAGCAAGGACCTAAGGAGATGCGTAGGAACTTTAAAAGCAAAATAAAAGTCATGATTCATTTCTTGATTTACTCTAAATGGAATGCCTAACTTCTCAGTAGTGGCCCAGAAATAAGGGATAGAGAAGTGGTTATAATCACATTTTATTCCAACACATGACGTCTTTACTTGTTGCCTCAGCCAGAGCTCATTTCAGCTGTTAGGCTGGGCTATTAGAGCTCAGTGTTCAGCGTGAGTCACCTAGGAGATTTGTTCCAATTATCTCTGCGTTTTTGGTGATAGGATTGATAGAAGAGAGGAGGCGGATGTTACCTGCTGACAGTCAGATTGCAGTAGGATTTAGGTGGGCAGTACAGTGCGTCTAGCATTTTACTTACAATCTGTGGAAGAAATCCTCCCTAATATCACTAAAAAGAGTTACGTAGTTTTTTTTTTTCTTTCCTTTAAAATCTCATTACAATACACTATTGTAGCAACCATGACCCCACATATATTCAAAATGAATGAGAGCTTCAAGTTTATTTTTAGAGATAGCTAATAACTACCATAGCATTTTCAAAGAAACTCATACTAATACTAGTACTCATCCCATGAGATAGTGTGTGAATCAAGGGTTCCACAGTTAAGCCTAAGAAACACCACCCACCATATCCATTTCTTAGAGGTTCGCAAAACAAAACAAAACAAAAAAAAAACAAAAACAAACAAACAAACAAAAAACAAACAAAAAAAACAAGACGTTAACAATCCTTGGAAGTTCTGAAGTAAGTTTACCAAGTTCGCCCCATATTTTCCGCAGAGTGTCATTGCAGAACCCTCTCTTCTGCTTTTTGTTGCTGCTCTTGGCCTCGGACAGAGCTAGGGTTCCATGGCACGTGTTTGGCGGGCGTTCGTTTGAGGAGATGGGGGCGTCTTCATGTCTCCCTTTGGTGAGATGGCAGAGAAACTCCCAGCAGAACCTGTATGAGGACTGTCCACCTCCTCCCCAAGCCAGGGGAAACGAGGGTCCCGGAGAACCAGGGAAACGGACAGAATTCTAAAGGAACCTTCTGATCAGGCTGAGTGACCTTCTTTTTTCCCTGTGCTTTTTGGGTGGGATCTGAAAGAACCGTATGTGGCGGAAGACCCGGTCTAAGGTATCTGGCAGCTTCTGCGTTGGTGTGGATCCTAACCGGAACTGGGATGCAGGTTTTGGAGGTGAGCGGGGACTCGCCCCCAGGGACGGTCAGCGCGTGGTCTGGCCCACAAGCTGGGTGCAAATGGCTCTGCCGTGCGTCAGCCGGCTAAGCCCATTCAGGATTCAAGCCATTTAAAAATCTCTTTGAAAAACACTTAACTAAATTCCCTTCATAGGAGCACGGTGCTGTCACAGAGCTCTGAGCAGCATTTAATATATTTTGCCTCACATCTTGGTTTTCCCACAAGCTGTCGCCCGGTGAGCCACCTGAGCAGCCGGCCGGAGGAATACTTAGCGCAATGGCAGGAGGACTCCGGAAGGCCGGAGCCCACCACTAGAGGGGGTTAGGATCTATTCTGGGGAGAAGCATTACATCATCTATGGATGCTTCGAGAAGGAAAACGAAAAAGCAGTACACACAGGATGAAGAAAGTGACTTCCAAAATAGATTTAAAAATCAGATGTGAGCTTGCTGCTCTGACTCTGTGACAGCTCTCGTGTTTTGGAGTTCCGTGGCAGGCCAGCTAGGGGCTTCTTCATGCCTTCAGCATAAAAAGGAAATAAGGCTACTCCTTATTTTTCAGTAACCATAAAATTAAATTTCTCCCCCCCCCCTCACTAGGCTACAGTAAGAGTGAGGTCAGGAGCTGTGGCTTTTTCACTGTGGTATTCCTAACACCCAGCACAGTGTCTGCAATCGGGAAGGCAATCACTAACATTTGTAAGGCAAATTAATTAATTAAGAGTTGTGGAACTCAGACAGGACACTCTAGAGAACTGCTACGGGATATGGATGAGTGGCAACTGCATTCATTGCTTTTACAATTCTGCTTAGTGTAAGGGAAAAAATAAAGCACAATATTGAGCGATTCCCCACAGTTCAATGTCAGCCTCCTCCCAAATATTATTTTCATTAAATCATTTTAAAATAAGGTGATATTTTATCTGTATCACATGGGGAGCCTAGGGAATCTAACCCCTACTCATCCCCTGGAGGTTTCTCTAGCAGTGAGAGCCCTGGCCAGGCCTACAGTGGACCCATTTCAGTGGTCTTGAGCCACTCTAGTTGCTGAGACAATCAAGGCCAAAGGTAGCCTTGCTGTTAAATATAGTCATGATTTCCTCACTGCAGAAAGGGTGTCAGAGGTTCCTTGCATTTGTGGCTTTGTGCCTTGGAAGTACAGATGCATAGAATCTTCTACTTTTGGACTATAAGAATTGGATGAGATCCCAGAAAATGAATTTGCTAAACTCCCACCCAATGCAGGAATTCCATCTATGATATTAAACTAGTTTTTCTTCCAACAACTCCTATAGAGAGGAGATGATCTAATTAGATGGCTCTTTCTACTGTATAGAGGAACCACATTTTTTGAAAAAGAGATGTGTCCAGAATCACTTCAGTTAGGCTTTCTTGACTATAACCTTTGGAAGAGATTTGATATGACACAATGACAATCTTGCCCTGACTTCCAGAGGAAATTAGTGATGCATGGTGACCTCTTCCTTACAGTGCCTTCTTAGCATGCCCTGTCCTCACCGGGTTACTTCTGCATCTCCTCAGGACCTGGAGCCAGCAGCAACCCTTGCTCTGATTCATACCATGGACCCAGTGCCAACTCTGAAGTTGAAGTGAAATCCATAGTGGACTTCATTAAGAATCATGGAAAAGTCAAGGCCTTTATTACCCTCCACAGCTATTCCCAGCTGCTCATGTTCCCCTATGGGTACAAATGTACCAAGTCAGATGACTTTAATGAGCTGGTGAGTTTCTTTTATTTCAGCCCAGCAGCAAATATCCGTGGTGGGAACAAGTCAGTTTCAGGCATGAAGTCATGCCCTGAGGTGGAGGCGTACCATTCCAATGGTAAATGAGACATAAATTCAACCACTGAGAAGATGATGATGCAGCCAAAGGTTTGAATGACTGGTTATGAACTTTCCTAAATTAAGTTTCTTTGGGAAATAGAATTCATGAAATTATTGTTACCTTAATCTAGATGAGCAGGAGCCTGGTTTGATCATAAATTCCCGGAACATGCTTTCTGTTGCATGGGGCGGGGGGGGGGTGGTGGGGGGTTGGTGGGGGGAACCTTAGGTTTGGATATGAGGCTCTTGGATTGGTAGTTACATGCTCTAAGCTAAGCAATTCTGCTTCTCAGCAACTTGCCTTATACTTTCCTGGGGCCTTTGGCTCTTTGATCTACCATGACGATGCACTGATGTCTGACATTGGAGGTAAAAGACTCACTTCCCCAGCTTGATACGTTCTGTCATCCTTCCTGTTCAGGAATAAGCCAGTTGGCCCCAGCCTTAGGTCAGATGGTGATATCTCAGGAGGCTATTCACAATTGAGCAAGAGCTAGCCCCAGCTGAAAAGAATGTGCAGACATTTCCAATTTGGCTTTTAGGCTTGGCTTGTGAAACCCATGTGCTAGAGATAAGCCCAGAATTGGGACTTTTTTTTGGTCAATTTACCTTCAATTAGATTATTGTCAGCAGCCCCATGCAGAAATAGACTAAATTATTCCAATTCAAGTGTGCCTTTCATCTTGTCAGTTAGATTTGAGCTCCGTGAGGTTTTGATGGTGAGTATTACCATTCAAGGTCGTATCAGGGAAAAAGAATGTTCTAAAATGTTCTTTTTGTAGACCTAGATGACCTGAAATTATCTAAACCTGGTGGTCAAACCTCTAGCAGGTAGTCATCTAGCCTGTGATTAGATGGCTTCTTGCCTTCAAGGGAGCCTTTTCTGTGTTGGGGAAGGTTGTTAGGTTGTTAGTGTTCTTCTTCATAGAGAGCCAAAACCTCTGTACAGCAGTTTTCGCCCATCAGCCCTAGTTTATTGTCTGGCTCTACTAAGCAAGTTTATTTCCCTTTGAGAGGTGAATCCACTAATTGCTTGAAGACCACCAGCCTGCTTTTCCTAGCTCCTACTCCTTCTAAATAACCTCAGTTCCTTCAAGCATTCATATGATGGGTTCAAGTCCCCTTATATTCTGGTTGCTGTTTTCTGAATATGCTTTCATTTGTCTGTGTTCTTCAAGGGTAGTGTCTTCAGCTGTTTGCATTGCTGTAAAGAAATTCCTAAGACTGGGTAATTTATTAAGGAAAACATTTTACTGGGATTATGATTCCACTGTCTGGAAGATTGGGCATCTGGAGAGATCTTCAGGCTGCTCCCTACTCACGGATGTGAGCTGGCGTGTGCAGAGATCACACAGTGAGAAAGGAAGCAAGAGAGAGTGTGGGGAGGTGCCGGACTCTTTAACAACTAGCTTTCGAGGGAACTAATAGAGCAAGAACCCACTCCTAATTGTGAGGACGGCACCAAGCCATTCGTGAGGGATCTGTCCCCATGATCCAAACACCTCCCATTAGGCCTCACCACCAATACTGGGGATCAGATTTCAACATGAGGCTTGAGGGGAATAAACATCCAAACTAGAGCAGGTAGCTCCCAGAAGTGAATGTGAAACGTGTGTTGTGGGTTAACCCAGCACAGAGCAGCGTGTGATCCTAACTACCCTCAGCCAGGCCGTGCACTTCTGCAAATTCAGTTGAGGATCACATTAGTTTTTTGGCAGTAGCCCTGTGATGTTGACTCATGTCGGGCTCATTGACAAGAGTAACCGCCAGGCTCTCCGAGGATTCTACCAAGCCAGGTTTCCCCCATCTGGTAATTGTACAGTTGTTTTCCTGGACCCAAGTTCAAGACCTTACATTTATCCCTGACAAGGACAGTAAAGCCTCAATCAGTCAAAATTGGAACCCTCAAATAATGGAAAATATTTTTCTGGGCTCTGCTTCTTGGAAAAAGAGACAACCACAGGGAAATAAGCCAACGCAGGGACCTAGTAAAAGAAAAGTCAACTTCCCACGCATGTCCTGGGGTCAGTCCACATTCTCCTTAGCACCCTTAAATCTACCCTATTTCTATCCACATCCCTGAACGAGGAGAACCGGTGGCAGAATAACGAATCCTTGAGTGTTGCAAACATCGGGATGTTCAAATAGACAACGAGGACCTTCATGTTGTATCTCCGAAGCCAACAGAAGTGAACTTGGGCTTACTTCTTAGTGAAAATGGTTGAAATAAAAGGGTATTGTGTCATCATCTCAAGTAACTAGACAGTCTCGTTAACCAGAGCATTCGATGTTCTGCTTTTGGGCAACTGATGTCCCAAGAGACAAATGTTATCTTCCTAACTTTCTTTGGTTCTCTTACTCTAGAATGAAGTGGCCCAAAAGGCTTCCCAGTCTCTGACAAGCCTGCATGGCACCAAGTACAAAGTGGGACCAATCTGCTCTGTCATCTGTAAGTATCTAACGTGCTGGAAGTTTTTATGAATGACCCACTAAGATGGCAGGCACCATGTGGGTTTGGGCCCAAACTTTCAAATGCCTTCATGTGAAAGGGATCGGTCTTCATTCATGGAACCCAACCTTCTCCAGTTTCCCTCAGGGAATCTAGTGTCCTTCATGAGATACTTACTGTGCGAGGGCCAGAACAAAGAACTCCTTAAATATGTGTTTTCTGCCCTCTCCTGTGCTTGTTCAGATCCTTATAACTCATTCTCATTCCTTAGATTTTCTTTGTCTAAAAATGAGGCTTTATCAAGACCTTGCTCTTTTTTTTTTCTTTTGAGATGGAGTCTCGCTCTGTCCCCAGGCTGGAGTGCAGTGGTGTGATCTTGGCTCACTGCAACCTCTGCCTCCTGGATTCAAGCAGTTCTGTCTCAGCCTCCCAAGTAGCTGGGACTACCGGCATGCACCACCATGCTCAGCTAATTTTTGTATTTTTAATAGAGATGGGGTTTCACCATTTTAGTCAGGCTGGTCTCAAACTCCTGACCTCAGGTGATCCACCCGCCTCAGCCTCCCAAAATGCTGGGATTAGAGATGTGAGCCACTGCACCTGGACTAAGAACTGGCTCTTTTATTATCGTCCCTTTCCTGGCTAAGAGGGGCTCATGCCCTGAGAATTCCATGGACTGTGGGGACAGAATGGGTGTGACTCTTGAAGAGGAGCTGGGTGGTTTGGTGGATAGACTCTCTCACAGCCATGTGTTCATGCAGAGTATGTGGAGAGGGAGGAGGAGAATCAGGAATAGAGGCAGTGTGAGGAATAAGTCTGGGGAGCCTGCCATCACACGTTCTAGGCCCCCTTCTTCCCCAGTGGATTGAGGCAAAAACGAGAAACTACTGCAGTGTTTTGGGAAATCTCAGTGCACCCTTGTGCAGGTTCTGAATCCCTCAAAGGAATGGTCCTTTCCTTATGGACAAAGCTGGAAATTCAGGACCACACAGTTCCAGGCCCCGGAATTCCCTTCCCTAGTGCTCCGATGCCCAAGGATCCTTTGGAAACCAATGCCTTTAATAGGCACCCATTCTGTTTTTTTTTTTTTTTTTTTTTTTTTTGAGATGGAGTTTTGCTCTGTCACCCAGGCTGCAGTGCAGTAGCGCCATCTTGGCTTACTGCAATCCCTGTCTCCTGGGTTCAAGCGATTCTTGGGCCTCAGCCTCTGGAGTAGCTGGAATTACAGGTGCCTACCACCACACTTGGCTAATTTTTTTTTTTTTTGGTGTGTGTGTGTTTTTAATAGAGATGGGATTTACTGCATTGGTCAGGCTGGTCTCGAACTCGTGACCTCAAGTGATCTGCCTGCCTCTGCATCCCAAAGTGCTGGGATTCCAAACGTGAGCTACCACGCCCGGCCACCCATTCTGTTTGACAGACTTTAAAATTAAGCATCTGTTACATGTTAAGAATTATGCCAAGTACTGGAGACATAATGTGCCCACAAAGAACTCTTTAATAAAAGAGATGAACAGGAAGGCAAATCCACTTTTGTATGATGTGTGCAATAGGAGGTTATCCATGGTACAAAAGTTGTAGAAAGTTGAGGGGATTTGATGGAAACGGAGTCAGGAAAAAGCTCATGTAGGAAGGGGGTAGGGTTGTAAAGACCGATCGGACTGATCACCAGGTAGCTAGAGAGGGGGAAAAGGATGGGGCATTCTCATGGTCAGCAGCCTATGCAAAGGCATAGAAGTATAAAATTGCGTGATGGGTTCTGGGAGCTACAAGCAGGTTGAGATTGCTGAAATGAAAGAGGGAGAGAAAGCAGTTGGGGAAGTTCAGGGTTTTGTGTGCCACGGTAAGGAATTGAGGTTTCACCCAGAGGATTCTGAAAGCCACTTGGAGGTGGGGGGTGGGATTCAGCAGGACAGTGAGGGAATCCAGGCATTGTGTTCAGCTAAAACATGTCGTGTGGCGGATGGAGTGATGAGGGACTGCAGTGGGGTCATCCCATAGGAAGAGGGGGCAGAGTTCAGGTGAGAGACGATGGGCTGAACTACCGCAGAGCCAGTGACGACGGAGGGGATTTGGGAGGTCAAGTCAAGAAGCTTTGTCATTTAGTGGATGGGGAGAGATCCTCACTGAAAGTCCTTCAGTGGTGCCACTCACTGAAGGAGAAGTCCAGGGAGGTGAAAGAGGGGTGAGGTTGCAAAGATAGTGAGTTCAGTTGCACACGTATTGAGGCTGAGCTCCTTGTAAGGTATTCACATGGAGATGGTCTGTAGGCTTTGGACTCCGTGCTCGGGGATTCTGTGGAGAGAGAGATTTGGGAAGAGTTGGCATAAAGCGGGTGGTTGGACCAGTAGTGCCGGGAGAACATTTGGAGTGAGAGGAGCTGTGGGCAGAGCAGGGAGCAAGGTGTTGGGCAGCAGAAGGGGTGAGCACGAGGGCAAGGCAGAAAGGCGGAGAAGCCTGGGTGTCAGAAACCAAGGGAGGAGCAATTATTAAACAGGAAGCAGCGGCCAACAACAGTGAAGGCCATGAAAAGTCAACAAAGATAAGGACGGAACATTTTCTGTTGAATTTTCATCACTAGTTTGTTGGTGACCTTAACCCGGAGCAGTTTCAGAAGAGCGGATAAGGGAAGGAGAGCAGAATGGAAGGCTTTTTTCTTTTTGAGATAAGAAATAGATTTATTGACTATGGGAAAGAACAAACAGAGGGGGAGGTGGAAGATAGAGGAGAGAGAAAAGATGACCAGTGAAGTGGAGTTTCAGAGCTGGGGACAGGAAGACAAACACAGGTGGGCCGGAGTTGTGGCTCAGGATGGAGTGAGAGGAGCATGACTTTGGAAGTGCTGTGGACATGGTATAGCGACAGCCACAGGAAAGGTGACGGTGGGAATCCGCGGGAATCCACCCGTGTTAGTCATGGTTTTCTTTTCTTTCCTTTTTCTTTTCTTTTCTTTCTTTCTTTGAGGCTGGAGTCTCACTCTATCACCTAGGCTAGAGTGCAGTGGGTGCAATCTCAGCCCACTGCAACCTCCGCCTCTTGGGTTCAAGTGATTCTCCTGCCTCAGCCTCCCGAGTAGCTGGGACTACAGGCACGCACCACCACACCCGGCTAATTTTTTGTATTTTTAGTAGAGATGGGGTTTCACCTTGTTGGCCAGGATGGTCTCAGTCTCCTGACCTTGTGATCCACCCGCCTTGGCCTCCCAAAGTGCTGGGATTATAGGCGTGAGCCATCGTGCCCGGCCTTGTTTGTGTTTTGAGATGTTGCCCAGAAGTTGTTCTTTGAATTCTTTCTCAGGGAAGTGTAGGGGAAAAACCCCACACAGCTTGGGTACAGAGTCCTGGGTCCGAGTTACTGCACTGCCACTTTGGAACCAAGTAGCCAATGGTCCAGTCACTTAATCTCCTTGGTTTCTTCATCTGTGAAATAGGTTGTTGAGAGGCTCAAAAGATATTACGTGCAATACAAGTGTTCCCTAATTCTAAAGCACTATATACACGTTGATTGCTAGTTTCCTGGTGAATGCCCTCCCACACATAACTCTGATCTTTAACATGGCCTAACTTTTTTGATCGGATCCTGGTCATTTATTGATGATAGTTAAAATCATAATTGACATTTATTGAATGCCTGTTCTACATACATTATCCTAGCTCCTTCCCTTAATATCTCTGTTTTTATTTTATGTTATTTACTTTATTTAGAGACAGGGTCTCACTCTGCTGCCCAGGCTGGATACAGTGGCAGGATCACGACTCACTGCAGCCTAGACCTCCTGGGCTCCAGCAGCCTTCCCGCCTCAGCCTCCTGAGTAGTTGGGACTGCAGGCATGCGCCACCACACCCAGCTCTTTTTTTTTTTTTTTTGAGGCAGAGTTTCGCTCTTGTTACCCAGGCTGGAGTACAATGGTGTGATCTCGGCTCACCGCAACCTCCGTGTCCTGGGTTCAGGCAATTCTCCTGCCTCAGCCTCCTGAGTAGCTGGGATTACAGGCACGCGCCACCATGCCCAGCTAATTTTTTGTATTTTTAGTAGAGACGGGGTTTCACCATGTTGACCAGGATGGTCTCGATCTCTTGACCTCGTGATCCACCCGCCTCGACCTCCCAAAGTGCTGGGATTACAGGCGTGAGCCACTGCGCCCGGCCCACCCAGCTCTTTTTAAAAAAAATTTTTTTTGTAGAGACAGGGTCTCACTATGTTGCCCAGGCTGGTCTCAAACTCCTGGGCTCAAGTGATCCTCCTGCCTTGGTCCCCAAAGTGTTGGCAGAGAGCCACGATGCCCTGCTACGTAATCTCTTAATCTCAGTTTCCTCATCTGGAAAATGGGAATAATGCTAGTACCTATCTAGAGATTCATGAACCAGTTTAACATAGTGCCTAACACACTAAGTCCGTGGCCAACTAGCGTCATCACAACCATTATGCCATTTAATTCTAACTGCCCTGTGAAACAAGTAGTAATATCATCCCCATGTGGCAGGTGAAGCATCTGAAAATAAATGACTTGCTTTAGGTCACCCAGATAACGATTTACAGGGTTGGGCTTCTATCCGAAGCCAGTATTCTGTCTACAGTGGACCTCTTAATGTGATTGGCTGTGTCGTGTAGCCACAGCAAAAGGTATGAGTTGGTAATTTTGGTCCAGGGAAGATTCAGTTCAAATCAGCAATCATTTAGAATTTATTTTTTTTTTAACCAGGCATTCATTTCCAAGCTGCTCTGCTGTGTGAAGGCAAAGACAAAAGTCATGGGAGTTGACAATATTAATTCACAGTATCAATCGCCAGCCCTACTCTTTCGTGGTACAACCTCCCTGGTCTTTCCAGCCCCATTCTTAGGAACTAGGTGGCTTCCACCATCTGTGCCCCAGTCAAGTCCTCATGTGACCTCTAACTGCCCTTCCTGGGAGGGACCTCAGGGGCGGTCCATTGCTCGGCGCTTGTGAGTCATGACTGACGTACAGGCTAATGCCATCTTCCTTCATCATCTGTCACATCAGCGGCCACACAGATCTCAGGTGCACATTAGTGTGTTGGCCAAACCCACCATGCACAGCAGAGCCTGCTCCACCCTTAATGCTGGTGGCGCCCTGAGGGTAGGGACCGAATCTCTTACTGCATTTGTAATCCCTCCACTCCCACTAGGGCAAACCATGTCTGTGCCTTCTAAAGAAGGAAGTGGTGTTGCCTACATAAGGTGGAGAAGATGCCACGTAGGATGGCGTGGGTAAAGCCAGAGGCTCCTAAGAACACAGAAGGAAGGCTCAGTTTAGTGTCCGCTGAATAACACCTTTTGCTTTTCAAATTATTCTTCTATTTTTTCATAAATGTGACCCTCTACTAAACTCTCCCCGCTCTTATAGTTCACACCTAGGGGCCTGGCTTACCTATGATAGTAGAATTTAATGTAGAGGTTCCATTGCTGTGAAGGCTAGTGGGAGTCGCGTAACCAAACTTGATTCTCATTTGCCCTTCAGACCAAGCCAGTGGAGGAAGCATCGACTGGTCCTATGATTATGGCATCAAGTACTCATTTGCCTTTGAACTGAGAGACACAGGGCGTTACGGCTTCCTCTTGCCAGCCAATCAGATCCTGCCCACGGCCGAGGAGACCTGGCTTGGCTTGAAGTCAATCATGGAGCATGTGCGAGATCACCCCTATTAGGCCCCTGGCGAATAAACAGGAGCTATTAAAATCTCTTTGGTCTGAAGCAAGTTGGGTTGTCTTGTTTATTTTTCTAAGCCTGATCTGGGAGCACCGTTTCTCTGGTTTCTGCTGCCCTCAAACGCAGCAAGTCATAGCATTGTACCCCTTTGTCTTTTTAAAAATCCATCCTGAGGCCAGCCGTAGTGGCTTGGACTTGAAATCCCAGCACTTTGGGAGGCTGAGGTGGGAGGATTGCTTGAGCCCAGGAATTTGAGATCAGCCTGGTCCACATGGGGAGACCCCATCTCTAAAAATAATAATATTAAAAAAAAAAAACCCATCCTGATCAGAGTGCTCCCAACATCATTTGACAGTTTTTTATTGTGTTAAATTACACATAAAGCTGCCTGGGGGTGGTGGTTCACGCCTGTAATCCCAGCACTTTGGGAAACCAAGGCAGAAGGATCACCTGAGGTTGGTTTGAGACCAGTCTGACCAACGTGGAGAAACCCTGTCTCTACCAAAAATACAAAAAATTAGCCAGGCCTGGTGGTGCGTGTCTGTAATCCCAGCTACTTGGGAGGCTGAGGCAGGAGAATCGCTTGAACCCGGGAGGCAGAGGTTGTGGTGAGCTGAGATCATGTCATTGCCCTCCAGCCTGGGCAACAAGAATGAAACTCTATCTAAAAAAAAAAAAAAAAAATACTATACATAAAAATTACCATTTTGATCTTTTTTTTTTTTTGAGACTGAGTTTCGCTCTTGTTACCCAGGCTGGAGTGCAATGGCGCGATCTCGGCTCACCGCAACCTCCGCCTCCTGGGTTCAGGCAATTCTCCTGCCTCAGCCTCCTGAGTAGCTGGGATTACAGTCACGCACCACCATGCCCAGCTATTTTTTTTGTATTTTTAGTAGAGACGGGGTTTCACCATGTTGACCAAGATGGTCTCGATCTCTTGACCTTGTGATCCACCCGCCTCGGCCTCCCAAAGTGCTGGGATTACAGGCTTGAGCCACCGCGCCCGGCCTCATTTTGATCATTTTTAAGAGTACAGTTCAGTGGCATGAAGTACATTCACAATGTTATGCCATCCCATCATCCATCTCCAGAACTTTCCAATCATCCCAAACTGAAACTCTTCCCATTAAACCATAACTCCCATTCGTCTTGCCCTTCAGCCCCTGGCAACTACTAGCTACTTTCTGTCTCTATGAATTTGCCCATTCTAGGTACGTCGTATAAGTGGAATTATATAGGCTTTGGCCTTTTGTGTCTGGCTCTGTTGCCCAGGCTGCAGTGCAAGTAGCACAATCTCAGCTTACTGCAACTTCCACCTCCTTGGTTCAAGTGATTCTCCTGCCTCAGCTTCCTGAGTAGCTGGAATGACAGGCACATGTCACCATACCGAGCTAATTTTTATATTTTTATTAGAGATGGAGTTTCAGCATGTTGGCCAGGATGGTCTCAATCTCCTGACCTTGTGATCTGCCCGCCTTGGCTTCCCAAAGTGCTGGAATGACAGGCATGAGTGACTGCATCTGGCCTTGTCTAGCATTTTTTTTTTTTTTTTTTTTTTACTTAGCATAATGTTTTTAAGTTTCTTTCATGGTGTAGCATGTGTCAGCCCCTCCATCTTCAGAGTGTAGCTTTATAGGGCTAACAGTGGACTTTCAAGTTCATTTATTTAATAAATACTAATTGAGCAGCTGCACTGTGCCAGGCCTTGTGCCAGGTGCTATACCAGGTTCCATTGTTGCCTTTGGTTTTTCCTTTCCTGGTGTGCTGCTTTATGAAGACTGGTGGGGCAGGGCATGGCGGTGACTCAGGCCTGTGATCACAGCACTTTGGGAGACTGAGGTTGGAGGATCTCTTGGGGCCAGGAGTATGAGACCAACTTGGGCAACACAGTGAGACCCCGTTTCTACCAAAAAAAAAAAAAAAAAAAAAAAGCTTGTCATGGTGGCAAACACCTGCAGTCCCAGCTACTTGGGAGGCTAAGGTGGGAGGATCACTTGAGCCCAAGAGTTCGAGACCACAGTGAGCTATGACCACACCACTGTACTCCAGCCTGGTCAACGGAGTGAGACCGACCCTGTCTCAGAAAAACAAACACAAAAATACTGATGGGGACCCAAGCCAATGACATCCCTTCTTCCTGGTTGCCCTATTGAGCCTGGGTCTTAGGTTGCACGCAGTTTCTCTTTAGATACTGACTTTCATTAGGGATTTAAGTTTTCTTCATGTTGATGGTTTCCCCTGGGAGAAACAGGTAGGAACTAAATTTCAGCTTGCCTAGAATTCTGGGTCCTTGATTCTTGATTCTTCCATTTCACATCTCTTACAGATTTGGGGCTCAGTTGCTTTTGTTGCTAACTTCAAAGCTGACATTGATCTTCGTGACACTGAGTGCAGCCTTTGTAGTGGACAGGGTGGGTGTAGGAATTCAGTTTAAGTGCTGAGAAGACAAAAGGACCCTGAGGGAGCAATAGGAGATGATGGCCCCTAGCTCCAGAGCTCCCGACAGAGGCTCTCTCCAGACCACACTTGAGATTCTGTGCCTTTTTTTTTGATTGGCTGGTTCTTGAGCCCTGGCTAAGCCAACCTGAGCAAAGATCATGCTAAGTCATTCCTCCCACCTTGATATCTGATCAAGTTCCTCATTCCTACATTTGATGTCCAAGTCCTTGGCCTCCCTTTAGCAAGAATTCCTCTACCTCAGTGTATTCTCTTAGTAATCCCATGGATCCTCCCTGTTTTCTTTGCTGTATTCAGTGTTGAGCACAGTAAGTCTCTCCTATGGTAATAGCCATGGTCCCAATCATAATAATCTTGAATTAGGTCTTACATTTATTATTATTATTTATTATTGTTTTTCTTTTGAGACAGAGTCTTGCTCTGTCGCCAGGCACCAGGCAGCAGTACAGTGACGCAATCTTGGCTCACTGCAATCTCCGCCTCGTGGGTTCAAGCAATTGTCTTGCCTCAGCCTCCCTAGTAGCTGAGACTACAGATGCGTGCCACCACACCCAGCTAATTTTTGTAATTTTTAGTAGAGACGGGGTTTCACCATGTTGGCCAGAATGGTCTCCATCTCTTGACCTTGTGATCCACCTGCCTCAGCCTCCCAAAGTGCTGGGATTACAGGCATGAGCTACTGCGCCCTGCCTTTTTTTTTTTTTTTTTTTTAATTTTTGAGAGGAAGTGTCTCACTGTCACCCAGGCCGAAGTGCAGTGGTGCGATCTCGGCTCACTGCAACCTCCACCTCCTAGGTTCAAGCAATTCTCCTGCCTCAGTCTCCCGAGCAGCTGGAATTACAGGTGCCCACAACGCGCCTGGCTAGTTTTTTGTATTTTTAGTAGAAATAGGATCTCACTATGTTGGCCAGGCTGGTCTTGAACTCCTAACCTTGTGATCCACCTGCCTCGGCCTCCCAAAGTGCTGGGATTACAGGAGTAAGCCATTGTGCCTGGCCTAGGTCTTACATTTTAACACAGGTCAGAATAGTTTTTCATTAACTCTCTTAACTCCTCTTGGGTGGGTATTGAAAGCATGTAGACTGTAAGGAGGGTGGGATGGGAAAGGCTGTGGGAACTGAGCTCCCAGGACAGACACAATGGCCCCAGAGTCCCTGAGTAAGTTACGGAGATCATGAGCATCTTCCATTTATTCAGCTGTGACTTGGCAGAAAGGACACCAGACCCACTTTCTTATACTTCTAGGAAGTATAAGAAAGTCTTATTATGGTAATATCGTTTAAGCCTTCCCTATAGTTCAGACTCCAGGGAGCACTGATAGTTCATTGACACTAAAACATCCTTTCTGTATCATTTGCCTGATAACGTTTCTATTTTCTTAGTGGAGTTGTAAGAATTAGGCCTCAGATCCATAAAAGAGGCCACAAACCTCTTTCCTCATCCTGACCTGCCCTGGTGAAATTCTCTGGCAGGGCTTGTCAAGCATGTGGTCTTGGACCAGCTCAGGGTTGCTTTGACAGTTTTCATTTTTTTTTTTTTTAGACAGAGTTTTGCTCTTGTTGCCCAGGCTGGACTGCAGTGGCTCGACTTCAGCTCACTGCAACCTCTGCCTCCTGGGTTCAAGTGACTCTCCTGCCTCAGCCTCCCAAGTAGCTGAGATTACAGGTGCTTGCCACCACACCTGGCTAATTTTTTGAATTTTTAGTAGAGATGGGGTTTCACCATGTTGGGCAGGGCTGGTTTCGAACTCCTGACCTCAGGTGATCCACCCGCCTGAGCCTCCCAAAGTGCTGGGATTACAGGTGTGAGCCACCACACCCAGCCAACTTTTTTTTTGTTTTGTTTTTGTTTTTTTAAATTCTAGAGGTAGCCCCATCCCAGGTTTACAATCTCACCTCTCCTATCAGGATAAATTCCATTCAACCCCGTGAGACTTTCTTATTCACTCAAAAAAAAAAAAAAAAAAAAAAAAAAAAAACCACACACACACTATTTAAATGCCAAGTGATGAGCAATATGGTACCCTTGGCACACTTTTCAGCCCCTGGAGCAAGTTCCTGACCTTGTAAATTGAGAGGCTCAATCTTTATCACTTGAAAGGAATGGGAGAGGCATTGGTAGGGCCTGGCTGTCGCACTGTCAGAGTTGGAAGGGTGCTTGGGAATCAATTAGCATTTCTGAGGACTTGAGTCACCCCCACAGACTCTATAAATACAGCTTGACCTGGCCCCTGTAGGACTGACTACCCTGGGATATGAGGTGGATACTGTTCATTGGGGCCCTTATTGGGTCCAGCATCTGTAGCCGAGAAAAATTTTTTGGGTAAGTTCCTTTTGGACTTCTTCTTCTTTGGTTATTTCAGAAATATGGGAGCCAAATGGGACTGAAAATGAATGGCTGATGATAGCTCACATGGAGGAAGGAGAACTGGGCTCTTTTTCCGGCTTTGTCCCTGTGTCATCCTGGACAAGTCCACTCCCTTTTCTTCTCTGAGACCCGATTTCATCTGTGAAATCAGGACTAGATGATCACTGCAGTCTCTCTCCAGTTCCCTCATCTCCTGCCATTCTTTTTCTGCCTAGTTCTTTTTTT